GAGATAATGTATTCTGATCTGTATTACACTTGAAATGACACTGAAATGTGCAGTACATGGCAGACCTTCACTATTTTAGCCCCAGATTCCCTGTACTTTTGGAAATGTGTGGACTGGGCAGAGGGCTAAAGATGATGATGTTGGAATATTATAATTTAACCTTTTCACCCCTAAGAGTGATTAGCATCTAATTTCTCCTCACATTATAACCCCTGAATCACACATTAACGTCAGGAGAATAAAAGAGATGATCACAAACTTAAGAAGATCTTAATTGTTTCATACATTCTCCTAGTCAGCACCTTAGGGAATGTATGGAGAACAGTATGAAGAATATGCACACTTATGTTAAGGTGCATTGTGACACAACTCAAAGAGTTTGCAAAGGTATACATGCATGTAGATACATGCATTGTGAGGGCTCAGGGTTTAAGCGCATGTTTGCAATTGCTTAGAGTTGTTTATAGTATAATGGAACTCAGGGGTGGATCCTGGATTTCTTTGAGGAGGGGGTGCACCACTAAAAAATGGCATAGCTGACTGGTGACCACAAAGTTTTGTTTTTCTTTTTTTCGAAGAATACCACATGTATTAGAAAGCCGCATTTCATCTCAGGGGGGTGTACACCCCCTGGACCGTCCCCCTCGATCCGCCCCTGGTACTATTGTTCACAGCAGTAAGAGCTCTACAGTTTATAATCAAAAGGGTTCAGTGCTTCTTTCTGTCATCAGTCAACAGAACCTTAAAAGTAGTGGCCATGCCCCCCCCCCCTTACTAGGCGGTACACAACCCTCCAATTAATGTAAAATTCAGAATTGTGTAACTTATGTCTGACTAATAAGTTAAGTTACTAGCAAGGTTCCCTTTCCTCTCAAACAATGTAGCTGCTTAAGATTGGTGACAATTTTGTAACATTGCAGGTAATATTGAAATGGGAAAGAGTGGAATTTGAATGAGAGTTAAGGTCCGGTAATACGGGCAACATTTTTCTTCAACTTGTCTAGCAAACATTGTCGCATTGCAAGTTGAAACCCTTTGTTCGGCGTATTACCACGTTCGTGACCAACTTGTCTCGCAACAAAATATGGTGTTGCAAGTTGAGGCAACGTGTTGCGCAAAGTAGACTCGAGTTCTACTTTCTGCAACAAATTTTAGTTTTGCTTCAACTAGCCTTGCAACAAATTTGAATTCAACGCCTGTGATTGGCTGTCCCAAAGCGCGGCGACGCGGCAAATTTAAAACAAACATGGCGGACGGAGATGAGCTTGAGGCTGTTGAAGTAGACCAGAAACTTTGCGAGAGCCAAAAATTTTCCCTATACAAAGACCTGGAGGGTTATCGTAGTTTGTGAGACACATCGTATGTCCATTCAAAAACCAAGCAGCAAAAAGAGAAAGGCTTAGAGGAATTGTCAGAAAAGTATAACATATGGCCAGCTATCTAAAACGACAACTTCATACTGCGCGGACTGCCTTGGCACGGGAAATTAAGAAGGAAAGTTACGGGCAGAACTCCAGGTGGAAGGTCTTCGAAACGTTAAGTTACATGAAAGAAGACGTTCTTTGTTCGCTAAGGGCAAAAGAAGAAAATGAGTGGACGGAGAACGAGACAGAGCAGTTGATAGAGTACTATAAACAAAATGACATCCTATGGAATCACAGCCTCTCATCCTACCGGGACAGAAACTTGAAGAACTGAGCTACACAAAGCTATCCGAGCTTCTCCCTGGTAAAAGCCACGACGACATTAAAAGTCGGTGGAATGTGCTCAAGACCATTTTTAACAGAGGTTAAAAAAGAAGAAGACAGCAAGGTCAGTGGAACCGGTAGGGACGCCGTATACACATCGCAGTGGAAATATTTGAAATCTTTTATGTTTATCAAAGGGAGTGACGACGTCGACCCTGCTATTTCAACACTTCATCCTACAGAAAATGAGAGACTGGCAAAGAAAATTAAAGCTGAGAAGGCGACAGATATTGAAGAGGTAGCTATACGCGTTTCATTTATTGTACTTTTGTGACGCATCGAGGCAGAGCGCTGTTAATAAACTCTTCCTGTTTCACTATTCACCGTCACTTTCGTAATTGTCAGTCACTGTTATTATTATTATTATTGTATAAGGTAAAACTGGATCTTTACAAAGAAGCCATTAAGTGCCTGCAGACCCCTCTGCCACTTGCAATTGGTCAGCCAAAATCGTAACGATTCCATCAGTACCTTTGTAAAATCGCTGGAGTCTTTATTACGACAGTTTTCTGGTCGCCACCTGGCTATTGCTAAGAAAAGAATCAACGATGTTATTTTTTGATTTAGAAATGGAATGGTTTGCACCACAATCCACACCTGTATCTGCGAGCAGTCCTCAGTCCACAGACCTCTTATACAACCCACAAGCATCAGCATCCAATTTCAACAATGGAACCTTAAACTGTGGGCTTATTTACATTGACACTAGACCTTTATAACCTGATTATACATTTGTAACACATTTATAACCTAATTTCAAATGTTATTTAGTACCTTTCAAGCCTTCAAATACTTTCAATTTTTTTCATTTACCTTCAAGTTGTCAAAAGATGAAAAAAAAAGCACTAAATTTTAACCTTCTGTGGTCACTAAATTTCAATTTTCTCCACTGTCAATTTTAACCTTTTCCAGTCAATTTAATTTTTCAGCACTGCCTGGGACGAATTAACTTGGAGGTTAACATCTGTTGTAAGAGTAATTTAGCACTCCCTGTGGGTCTGTTAAGTCGGTTTTCAAAGTTTAGTATCCTACATGTAGCTAATAAGCCAGAAATTTAAGTACTGAAGAAATGGAAATGTGCTGGCAAATCTTATTTAAAACTACCCTTCAAAATGAAGTAATTTCTAGTAATAAAGCTATTACTGACATTTTATTAAAACATATTTGTATGTATTCCTTCATAATTTAAATGATGTAAATGTCCATTTCTTGAAAGGTGTATGGTTTACAAACATAATCTTCCAAAAAATATTATATTTCATTGAAATTAAAGTACCTTTTTAAAATGGTACACTGACACTTGAGGATCTTAAAAATCTCATTTCAAATAAGTTAAAGTTATTTAAATAAATCATTATTGTTTTTTATCAGACCATACTCATATTTATTATATCTTAAATAGCCTATGATGTAAAGTCCATTTCCTGTAAGACATAAAGTTTCAAATCTACACTGTTGTATAAAGATTACTCTATTTCAGTAAGTACCTTATTGAAATGGTACATGCTTAGAAGGACCTTAAGGTCTCATTTATAATAAGTTACTGTTAATTAAAAAATGGTCTCTTGAAGTATTTTATGATATGTATTGCTTCTACTGTAAAAGTCTTACAGATCAGCAAAAAGTATGTATCAAATGATTCTTATAGCCATTGGTACCTGTGCAAATGGTAAACATAATATGTACTGAAAACAATCCTACTTAACTCATCTGAAAGATATTGCTGTACAGCACCAATGTTCAAAAATAAACTCATTAATTTGTATCTTTCCAGCTGCCTTTTGAGATGGAAAAATACTCAAAACAACACTGCACCTGGAAAAGGGCATGAAATGTTGTCTTAATATGTAATACAGTCCATATATATTGCATATGAAACCACGAAAGATTATTTCTGCACAGATAGCAAACACACTGTTTTGTCACAAAGCTAACTGCCTTGATAGAGTTATTGTCATGAACCATGATGGAAAATCATTAAGTGAAATGAGGTGGACATAAATTTGTAGAGGGCACATTGAAGACAGAACAGTTCACTCCTCTTCTTATTACAATGACATTAGAGGCAAGCTGGAAAAACTTAACGCAACATGCACATTTTAAAACTATTGAAATGAACTGAACTAACTGCAATATAGAAATATGTAACAGGTGCTATAGCTATGTTAGCTACCTATTTCACACTTTTCCTTTTCATAAACATAGGCATAATTAGGAATGAAAATATCACTGAAATGGTATCACTATCATCTTTCAGTTGAGAACTAGAAGTCACCAAAGAAAGAAAAAGCTAAGCCAATTCTTATTTAGCAATACTGAATGTCTAATTTACGCCTTTCATCTCACTTCAGATTGGTTGCAAAACAATAAACATAATTCTAAAACATTTTGTGTTCATGGCTTAGTGGCTTTCATTGTACATAAGATTCACACCAGTTCAAACACAGTCTCCACTGCCATGGTACTACTCTCTCCTTCATGAAATAAACCATGTACTCTTCTCTAATTACCCCAGTTCCAGTGGAGTAATTGTTGTTGCATTGAGGATGATAGTCAAACCATGATGACGGCTCACTGCTGTTGCACCTCCATTAGGCCCAGGGAGCACATTGCCTTCCTCGTCTTCTTGATCTGTCATTCCATTTACTCTGTAGAGAAAATTTTGAGGGCCTAATCAATTCTTATTTGTAAATTATGTATGTAGTTCCAAGGGGGGCAGTACTCGAAGTATACATCATGGGGGGTCCTATGGAGCTTCATATTGCAAACCCAAAAAATACATGAGACTGAAATTTTAGACCTGAAAAAATACCTGGCATCAAAGTATCCTACCCCAAAAAATACGAGACTTAAATACCTCAATAGAAAATTATGCAGCACTAGTGCATGCCACCAAAATCAAGTCGACGACTGTGTATGGAGGCAAGAGAATTGGAGCACGAAACACCCTCCATCTGTTCGCAATGATACCAAAACGATTTTCTGAAATTCTGCACATGCGTGACAACCTGTAATTGAAAATCCGTTGTCCTCTTGACAATCCTGTCAGCGGGAAAGGCTTCATCATAAGTCTTGTCAAGGCAAAGGCACTGTCTCCTGTTAGGACATATGGCACTGGCATTGCCGTCTCTGGCAAGGCTCTGGGCTTTGGTAAATTCAAAGTGTTGTGACTTAAACTCAGTGCCTTTTTGAGGTCACAATTTTGCCATATGGCAGAGTCTGGCGAACGACCATTTGTTCCAGCACTCGCCCAAAGGCACTGGTAGTCAGGCCCAAACACAGCAGGGAGAACAATGCTGTTGTTCCCTTTGTAATCGTAATAATCAGAGCCAGAATTAGATGGCTGCTGAACGATGACACGTTTTCTGTCTACAGCGCCGGTACCATTTGGAAAATGCCATCTTGCCTCGAATTTCTCTGCCCCTGCATCCCACTCACTTTCAGTGTTTGGTACTTTTAGATATTCTGGAGCAAGTAATTGTAGTATAGTAAATTAAAATGTATGTCAAGTATGTTAATTTTGACCCTGTTATATAAATAGATCAATGATTTTAAGACCTGCTTACCTTGTACAGGGCACGGCTTGTTTCTGACACGATTGAGAGAAATTGTTTGGCGTGAAATTCTGAACGAGTACTCGAGGGAATGATGAGTTTCTTCCATTGCCAAATACCGTAACGTTACAGCTAGGCATTCATCTGGCTGTATTGTTGCCCGGACAGAATTGATGGGTGATGGCTGCTCTTTCTTTTGGATCAGCAGGGATACTTTTCCCAACAGAAAGGAAAATTGCTCCTTCATCTTAGTGAAAAACTCTTTGTACGCCAAGACATCCCGCAATTCAAGCTCTCTCATTAGCTGGTGAAAAGCGTCTCTCTCCTCTCTCCGGGAAATCCATTGTCGCATGTAAATTTTCCGATTTCGTTTTCGAGGCCTATTCTCGTCTTCACTGAGCAAAAGGCCCAAGCAGAGAGCTGCAAGCGCTCTCTTCCGACAAAGAAAGAGTTCAGCAGGCACCATCTTTGTTTACGTACGACCGACCAATCATTCCGCAAATTTGCAACACTATATTTTGTTGCAAGACAAGTTGGTCACGAACATGGTAATACGTGCAACAAAGGGTTTCAACTTGCAATGGAACAATGTTGCAAGACAAGTTGAAGAAAAATGTTGCCCGTATTACCAGACCTTTAAGGAAAAATTAAAAAAGTAGCAGAGAGTGCTAATTAAAGACTTTTTCCACTCAGTGTAGCTGTTGTAAGGGAATAATTTAGATTGAAAAGATTAGTGGCAGCCCCTTACTATGAAACATCGCATGTAACTCAATGCAGCACAAAAAAATTCTGGTTTAAAGATGGCTAACCCATATCTGTCATCTATGCCTTGGGGAATGGGAATTTAAACCTTTCCTTGATTAGGTGAGGAATTTGAACTGAAACTGTCCAGTCTTTTCAGCAGAGTACATGTTTAATTTTTCAATATGAAGTTGTTTAAAGGTAAAAATTCACTTTGAAACGCTGTAGATCCTTCAGAAGAAAAAGTTTACACAGAAGTCACTAGTCTTGCCTTTCACAAAAAAAATAAAGAAAACAATCAAATCCAGCACTTGCACATACATAAGTGGCAACTTCAAAAGTTCAAATTCACAGGAGGTTGCCAGGGAAGGGGATGTTGAAGCTTCAATTTGAAAGTCCTGGAGACACATTTTAATTCTTAATTCTTATTTGTGACAACAAATTTTTACTTTAAAGAATATTAACTGTAAATTGATACCTTAATGGAAATTTATACAGGTTTCTTGTTCCTTTTTATGAACTATGCAATTCCCTGTTGAAAAGAAATTTTCATTTTAAAAGTAGCATTTATAGTATTTGACCTCAAAATAATTGCTTCTGTAAAATGCATCTGCAAGAGTCAGTATACGTAGACCATCATAATTTCCTGCTTGCTATAATTCTAAATGACCTACTTAGTAAATACTTATATGAGAACGATCCTTCGCAGTAAAGCACTATTTGAGCAATAGTGAAAATCAGACCTGAAAAAAATTTCAGGCCTGTACGGGATTCGAACCACTGACCTCTGCGATACTAGTGCAGCGCTCTACCAATTGAGCTAACAAGCCAACTGGGAGCAGGCCATCAAATTAATTCGATATAAACCCGTAGATGATAAATCAAACAACAACAAACATATGAAACATATGTGTGAACTGCGGTTATGAGACGTATATGAGAACGATCCTTCGCAGTAAAGCACTATTTGAGCAATAGTGAAAATCAGACCTGAAAAAAATTTCAGGCCTGTACGGGATTCGAACCACTGACCTCTGCGATACTAGTGCAGCGCTCTACCAATTGAGCTAACAAGCCAACTGGGAGCAGGCCATCAAATTAATTCGATATAAACCCGTAGATGATAAATCAAACAACAACAAACATATGAAACATATGTGTGAACTGCGGTTATGAGACGTATATGAGCACGATCCTTCGCAGTAAAGCACTATTTGAGCAATAGTGAAAATCAGACCTGAAAAAAATTTCAGGCCTGTACGGGATTCGAACCACTGACCTCTGCAATACTAGTGCAGCGCTCTACCAATTGAGCTAACAAGCCAACTGGGAGCAGGCCATCAAATTAATTCGATATAAACCCGTAGATGATAAATCAAACAACAACAAACATATGAAACATATGTGTGAACTGCGGTTATGAGACGTATATGAGAACGATCCTTCGCAGTAAAGCACTATTTGAGCAATAGTGAAAATCAGACCTGAAAAAAATTTCAGGCCTGTACGGGATTCGAACCACTGACCTCTGCGATACTAGTGCAGCGCTCTACCAATTGAGCTAACAAGCCAACTGGGAGCAGGCCATCAAATTAATTCGATATAAACCCGTAGATGATAAATCAAACAACAACAAACATATGAAACATATGTGTGAACTGCGGTTATGAGACGTATATGAGAACGATCCTTCGCAGTAAAGCACTATTTGAGCAATAGTGAAAATCAGACCTGAAAAAAATTTCAGGCCTGTACGGGATTCGAACCACTGACCTCTGCGATACTAGTGCAGCGCTCTACCAATTGAGCTAACAAGCCAATTTCACTATTGCTCAAATAGTGCTTTACTGCGAAGAATCGTTCTCATATACGTCTCATAACCGCAGTTCACACATATGTTTCATATGTTTGTTGTTGTTTGATTTATCATCTACGGGTTTATATCGAATTAATTTGATGGCTTGCTCCCAGTTGGCTTGTTAGCTCAATTGGTAGAGCGCTGCACTAGTATCGCAGAGGTCAGTGGTTCGAATCCCGTACAGGCCTGAAATTTTTTTCAGGTCTGATTTTCACTATTGCTCAAATAGTGCTTTACTGCGAAGGATCGTTCTCATATACGTCTCATAACCGCAGTTCACACATATGTTTCATATGTTTGTTGTTGTTTGATTTATCATCTACGGGTTTATATCGAATTAATTTGATGGCCTGCTCCCAGTTGGCTTGTTAGCTCAATTGGTAGAGCGCTGCACTAGTATCGCAGAGGTCAGTGGTTCGAATCCCGTACAGGCCTGAAATTTTTTTCAGGTCTGATTTTCACTATTGCTCAAATAGTGCTTTACTGCGAAGGATCGTTCTCATATACGTCTCATAACCGCAGTTCACACATATGTTTCATATGTTTGTTGTTGTTTGATTTATCATCTACGGGTTTATATCGAATTAATTTGATGGCCTGCTCCCAGTTGGCTTGTTAGCTCAATTGGTAGAGCGCTGCACTAGTATCGCAGAGGTCAGTGGTTCGAATCCCGTACAGGCCTGAAATTTTTTTCAGGTCTGATTTTCACTATTGCTCAAATAGTGCTTTACTGCGAAGGATCGTTCTCATATACGTCTCATAACCGCAGTTCACACATATGTTTCATATGTTTGTTGTTGTTTGATTTATCATCTACGGGTTTATATCGAATTAATTTGATGGCCTGCTCCCAGTTGGCTTGTTAGCTCAATTGGTAGAGCGCTGCACTAGTATCGCAGAGGTCAGTGGTTCGAATCCCGTACAGGCCTGAAATTTTTTTCAGGTCTGATTTTCACTATTGCTCAAATAGTGCTTTACTGCGAAGGATCGTTCTCATATACGTCTCATAACCGCAGTTCACACATATGTTTCATATGTTTGTTGTTGTTTGATTTATCATCTACGGGTTTATATCGAATTAATTTGATGGCCTGCTCCCAGTTGGCTTGTTAGCTCAATTGGTAGAGCGCTGCACTAGTATTGCAGAGGTCAGTGGTTCGAATCCCGTACAGGCCTGAAATTTTTTTCAGGTCTGATTTTCACTATTGCTCAAATAGTGCTTTACTGCGAAGGATCGTTCTCATATTCGTCTCATAACCGCAGTTCACACATATGTTTCATATGTTTGTTGTTGTTAGTAAATACTTTTCAGTATGTACTGTTGAAAAACAATGAAAAGTGTTGAAGTCCCACTCTGATTGGCTACTCAAACTCTAAAGATCCTTTGAAGCAACTCACATGCAATTTGTGCCCAAAAACATTGTAATTGTGGTGGAGTAATGGTTTACAATCCATTATTTGTGCTACATTATCTCCCTGTTTCAATTTAATCAAAAATAACTATTTACCAGAGTAAGGTAAAGTGCTTATTATTCAATGTGCTGATGATTTCGTAGGCAAAAACTTATCTATAGATTTTTAAGAAAACCTCTCCACACAAACAGAAAGACTAGTAATGAATATAATAGAAGTATGAAAAGTTGTCATTTTCTAATGACACATATATTACCTAATATAAATGTGACTGTTCTTTCACCAGACAAAATTACAAATTTCAATTTTAAAACAAATCATTTAACTCTCCCAGAGATTTCAAGTTGATTTGGCGGCAATTTGAGTAAGATGCCCTAGGTCACTTAACATGGGGAAAATTGTTAAAAAATCAAGTTGCTATGACATGAATTCCCAGAGAGAATTTTCAGTGTTGGGAAGTGTTCAGATCAAGTTTAAACATAGGAAACAAGGAGTAAATTATATTTAGAAGGATACTAATTTATTTTATACTACTCTAGCAACTTAACAAAAGCAGCAGTGTGCTGTTTCAAAGTAGCACACTGCTGCTTTAGAAATAATGTCTTAGTGTGAGATCATAAGACTGGATTTGTTTGCACCAGTTTCATGCTCAATGTGCAAAACTTCAGTCTCTGCTCTCCCAACAGTGCTTAAATTAATAGAAATTGACAGTTCAAAATTCACATCTTCTGTGATTTGTTTTGTAAAATACACATTTTTCTTTGTTCTACATTGCCAGTCATATAATTATTTGCCACAGAAAATTTAGAAAGAGTCTGATGCAAAAGGTGTTCATGCAGTACTGGTTTCAACTTGTTTCCTAATAGTTTTTGATAAATGCATAATCCAGAATATATTTCAAATTATTTTTTAGATGGTCAAACTTAAATTAACAGAAAAGTTACCAAACACTGATTAAAGAAGTCCAATGTACAGCAACAAAGATAATCTTTTGCAGATATTGTTTTACTCCCCAGAGTAAAATTACCAAAGATAAATTTTTCATTTTAAATTTACCCTTTAATCTGTAACATCAGTATACATATTCTCCATACTGTTCTCCAGACATTTCCTGGGGTGCTGACAAGGAGGATTTGTTTATCAATCAAGAGCTTCATTCCCTTTATTCTCTGGACCTCAAAGTGTGATTCAAGGGTGATATTGTTCAGAGAAATTAGATGCTAGTCACTCTTGGGCTACTGGGGGTGCTTTAACCCTTTCTTTCCTAAGGTGTGAATTTTTCTTTCTCCCCTACCATTCCTATTTAATAAGGTAAGATAAGTTGGTGTTAAATTAATTCAACACCCAAGCTGGGTTTAGCTGAAATATGTACCTCCATCAGTTATAATTTTTTACCACCAGTTTGCTGGTTAATATATCAAAATCTTAGGGACAAGTTATATCTTTTTATAATT